GAAGGCTGAAAATAGTGTCACTCTCCTCTCAATTCCTTCTTTCCCGTAGCTCGATAGCCTCCAGCCAGGGAGAGTGTGTAAGGAATCAAGCTCACCTAATGGCAGAGGCCAAGTTGTTAGCCTCTCACAGGGGTGATTCCCATAAAAACTAGTCAACATTTGGGAGAATGCTTATTTAAATCTAAGTATCTCATGTTACTTTTTTTTTTGAGATGGAGTCTTGCTGTCACCCAGGCTGGAGTGTAGTGGTGCGATCTCAGCTCGCTGCAACCTCTGATTCCCTGGTTCAAGTGATTCCCCTGCCTCAGCCTCCTGAGTAGCTGGGACTACAGGTCTACAGCCAGCTAATTTTTGTACTTTCAGTAGAGACAGGGTTTCACCGTGTTGCCAGGATGGTCTTGATCTCCTGACCTTGTGATCTGCCCACCTTGGCCTCCAAAAGTGCTTGGATTACAGGCGTGAGCCACTGCATCCAGCCTCATGTTACTTTTCATAGCTAAGCACAGAATAAAGACAGTTGTTTCCCAAAACTTGCCCCATGGTAAGAATCACTTGGATTGCTCGTTAAATCATTTCCCCTACCCTTTTCCCAAACTAGAGATTCCAATTCAGGTTGGTTTGGGGCAGTGCCTGGGAATTCATATTATCACAATTCCATGTTTCTTAAAATCAGACACGTGTGGGAAACATCTAATTAAGATGTATAATTATTTAAAACATTAAACCTGTTTCTAACAGTCATCTGTTGCTTCTCTGAGGGGTGTGATATGTATCCATGGACACCTGAGTACATATTTGTATGCAACTGGCTACGGCACTTCTGTAGAGATGATTGTCTCTACAGAAGAGACAACAGTTTATGCACATTCTATGCCTGTGTTCCAAGTACAGAATATTCCCCAAATCCAGGTCAGCTATCCGACAAAACAAGCTATTGGTTGAAAAGAGAATCGAAAGTGCCTGAACCAAAAAAGTAAATCTATTACCAGTGCCAGAAAAGTGTAAGTTTCAAAATCAGACAAAAGCAACATCATTTTCTTATCACGTGAAACCTAAGAGTATTTTTAAACCACCGCTATATATTTCTTAATGAAAAACGACTTCAAATAGAAATCCCCAGTATACTCATTACTTGTTTTTGTAAACTTATTAGTAAAGTATGATGGATATACAGAAAAGTGCTTGAATCTTGTGCATGAATTTTTATACAGTGAACACATCTTTGTTATCAGGACCCACAGCAAGAACCAGAACATTATCAGCACCACGGAAGCCCCCCTTCTGCTACTCCTGTTTTTTGTTGTTTTGTTTTTTGATTTGAGATGGAGTCTTGCTCTGTTGCCTTGCCCAGCCTGGAGTGCAGTGGCACAATCTCAGCTCACTGCAACCTCCACCTCCCACATTCAAGCGATTCTCCTACCTCAGCCCTTCTAGTAGCTGGGATTGCAGGCACCATGCCTGGCTAATTTCTGTATTTTTAATAGAAACAGGGTTTTGCCATGTTGGCCAGGCTGATCTTGAACTCCTGACCTCAGGTGGTCCACCCGCCTTGGCCTCCCAAAGTGCTGGGATTACAGTCGTGAGCCACCGCACCCGGCCTACTCTCCTGCTATTGACATTCCCCTCCTCACCAAGTGTAACTGCTACCCTGACTTAAATACCATAAGTTGTTTTTTTTTACATTATAAATATATTGAATCATTCACCGTTGTCTGGCTTCTTTGAACCTTCTGTTTATGAGATTCATGCAGGTTGTTGCATTAACTTTCATTTCTGTGTAGTATTTCACTGTGTGAATATATCATAGTTTACCTCAGTTCTTCAAACTATTATCCAGGTAGTTCCCAGTTTGGGGCTTTTACGTATAGTGCCGCTATGAACATTTTGGGGCATGTCTTTTGGTGAACATATATGTATCCATTTATGTTGGCTATAGACCTCAGAATGGGATTCGTGAGTCATTAGGTATTCCTAATTCAATTTTGTAGGTTCTGTCAGGATAGTTCTCCAAAGGGGTTGTACAAATTTACACTTCTCCCAAAAATGTATGACAGTTCTGTTGCTCCACACTTTCACCTGCACTTGGTATTCTGTCCTTTCCGTTTTAGCCACTCTAGTGAGTATGAAGAGATACCATATTTTATTACTTTGCATTTCCCTGAGAAGCTGAGTAACTTTTTCATACTATTGGCAAATTTTTTAGGTGCCTGTTAATTCTTTTTTTAGTTATTAAGATTTCCACATTTTTTATTGGATTGATTTTCTTATATATTCTGGATATAGGTCCTTTACCAGATATTTATTATTATAATGTGTCCCGAGGCTGGAGTGCAGTGGTGAGATCTCAGCTCACTGCAACCTCCACCTCCCAGGTTTAAGCAATTCTCCTACTTCAGCCTCCCAAGCAGCTGGGACTACAGTTGCGCACCACCATGACTGGCTAGTATTTTTGTATTTTTAGTAGACACGGGGTTTCACCATGCTGGCCAGGCTGGCCTTGAACTCCTGACCTCTGGTCCACCCACCTCGGCCTCCCAACGTGCTGGGATTACAGGTGTGAGCCACCACGTCCAGCCCCATTTATTATTTGTAGATTCTTGTTCCTCCCCTCTTTAAAGACGTCTACACAATTTTGGTAAAACTGGTTATCTATTTCTAGATTCATCTTCTTCAACTCTGGCTCAAATTCAAACAATTTCCTAATCACATTTTCCTTCTTAAGAAAAATAAATTGGGCCAGGTGCAGTGGGTCACACCTGTAATTCCAGCACTTTGGGAGGCAGGTGGATCACCTGAGGTCAGGAGTTTGAGACCAGCCTGGCCAATATGACGAAACTCTGTCTCTACTAAAAATACAAAAATTAGCTGGCCATGGTGGCACATGCCTGCAGTCGTAGCTACCAGGGAGGCTGAGGCATGAGAATCACTTGAACCCAGGTAGGAGAGGATGCAGCAAGCCAAGATCGTGCCATTGCACTCCAGCCTGGGCAACAGGGCGAGACCCCATCTCCTAAAAGAAAAAAAACTGGCCAGGCATGGTGGCTCATGCCTGTAATCTCAGCACTTTAGGAGACTGAGGCAGGAACACCTCTTGGGCCCAAGAGTTTGAGGCTGCAATGAGCTATGATCATGCCACTGTACTCCAGCCTGGGCGACAGAGTGAGATCGTGTCTCTAAAAAAAAAAAGAAAAAAAAGATGAGTGGGCTGCGCGTGGTGGCTCATGCTTGTAATCTCAGCACTTTGGAAGGCCCAGGCAGGTGATCACCTGAGGTCAGGAATTTGAGACCAGCCTGACCAACATGGTGAAACCCTGTCTCTACTAAAAATACCAAAAATTAGCCGGGTGTGATGATGCATACCTGTAATCCCGGCTACTTGGGAGGCTGAGGCAGAAGAATTGCTTGAACCTGGGAGGCGGAGGTTGCAGGGAGTCGAGGTCATACCATTGCACTTCAGCCTGGGCAAAAAGTGAAACTCTGTCTCAAAAAAGAAAGAAAAAAGATGAGTGAACATACTACCCATGTCCATGTCCACTTTGTATAGCAAGTGATTTCTCCTTGGTTTTCCTCAGGTTACTTTATCTCATATTAATCAACCCAACTTCTTGCATCTGAATGAAAAGTACACATGTAAGGAAAAGACATACAGTATGATTTAGTGAAAACAAAGCAACACTAGGAATCAGGAAGCCAGGATTCCACTATTAAGCAGCTCTCTAACAATGGCAAATCAATTAACGTCCCTGAACTTCAATTTCCTCTTCTACTGAGGGGTGGGAATAAATAATCCACAAGCTGCCTTTACTTTCCGGATCATTAAGTCCCATCTGCTTACTTAGACCCCAAACTGGTAGTATGTATACTCTCTGCTCTTTCTAAAACATCTTTTCTCCAAGTCTCCTGATCTTTTTACATGCTGTTTCCTTATTTTGCAGAATAACTTTTTTTTTTGAGACAGAGTCTTGCTCTTGCCCAGGCTGGAGTGCAGTGGTTCAATCTCAGCTCACTGCCACCTCAGCCTCTTGGGTTCAAGCAATTCTGCTGCCTCAGCCTCCTGAGTCGCTGGGACTACAGACTCACACCACCACACCCAGCTAATTTTTGTATTTTTACTAGATATGAGGTTTCATCATATTGGCCAGAATGGTCAAGTGTTCCACCTGCCTTGGCCTTCCAAAGTGCTGGGATTACAGGTGTGAGCCACCCAGCCCAGAGTAACTTTTCAGTTACTAATTGACTAACTTTTTTCCTGGGTTTGTAAAAAGACTGCAGTAGTTGCTAGTAGTGTCCTACCTCTGTCTCCTCAAGCATGACCACCATCTCAGTGCCCACCAGCCTGACCTCCCAATTGCTAGTACCTAAACTTTTTTGCAGAGGGTTTTCTGTGGCTACCAGGGCTGGATATACCTGAATGCATGTTATGCATTGACTCTCCCCATTTTTAGGGGAACAGCTTTCCGATGCAAAATTGACAGGAGCTGGTTGTCAAACAAGTTACCCTAATTTCCTCACACCCTCGCTGGCTGAGAGGTGCATTTTCACTGTTCCCCGAAATCCGCAGTAGGACTGTGCTCCATAGTCCCCAGGGTTAACTTGGTTACAATGGGTGCTTTAATTGGCTTCTCTCTATTGTCTCAATTCTCTGCTTTCTTAATGGTGTTTCCTGGTGTCATCTCCCAAATAAACTACCTCAACTCAACTGCTTGTCTCAGAGTGGACTTCGGGGGGAATTCACACTAAGCTCTTAGAACAACGTCAGTACTGCTTTATCGCCCCGTTTCAGCAAGTCGGTTCCCTTCCTCATGCTCCTCTATTGTAGCAATACGGTTATGGCTAACGCTGAAGATACCGGACGCTACTTAGAGGAAAACGTCACCGACTGTGACGAAGGGGCTTCTCGTGCTTTTTAAAGTATTTCTGGACATACACTTGGGACTCAGTGGCAATACGGAGTTGTTTATGTGACACTGCTGCTTCGCTCCTTTGGACATCGTTGAAAACATAACACTGGGGGCCCGGCGGGGCGCTGGGGGTGGGCGCTCCCCGCGGCTCCCGGCGGCACCGGCGCGATCGAGGTCCAGCTTCGGGGACACGCCCGGCCGGCCGCGGGGAAGGCGCCAGGTGAGCGCGGCCGCGCCTCCCGGAACCTCGGCCCCCCGCGTCCCGCGGCAACGCGGCGCCCACCTGCCCGGCAGCCAGGAACTCAGGCCCCGCCAAGGCGCTGCGGCTGCCGGGGTGAGCCGGGCGGCGGCGCTGGGCTTCCTGCAGGAGCGCGGCGGGAAGGTGGCAGCTCCGGGCTGCGGGGCCGCTTCAGGCGGTTGGTCAAGGACGCCGCGGCGGCGAAGGAGCTCGACGGCGCCCACTTCGTGGTGCTGGAGAAGAAGCCGCGGCCCCCGGAGCCCCAGCCCGCGCCCTCCGGCCTCCCCGAGGCAGCGGCCCCGCCGTCGAAGCCCCCTGTCGTCTTACCGGGGACGCCTCTGCCCGGGAGCTCCGCCGTGGGTCTCCGCGCCGCAGCCGGTGGAGCCGCCAGGGGACCCGGGTCCGACCGAGACGCAGGACGCCCCTGGGGCGCCGGCCTCGGAGCCCGCTCAGCCTCCGGGGAGCTTCCAGCCGTCGAGCTAGCCCAGGGCCCGAGGGACCCAGCGCTTAGGGCTCCGTCGGAGGCGGACCCGCCAGACCCGGACCCCGGGCCCAGGACAGCGACAGGGCCGCCGCCGCAGAAGCCCCGCATGCCCCGGCCCCGCCACGCTCCGCACCCGGGCGGAGGCGCAGCGCTGCGCCGGCAGCTGCCGGAGGAGCCGAGCCCGCGGAGCTCCCCTCTGCCGCGGAGGCGGCTCTCGGTGGAGGAACCCGGCCGGGGCCTCGGCCCGGGATCCGGCCGCTCCCCGCACCTGAGGCGTCTGCTGAGCCCCGACGCCGAGGAGGTGCCCGCCGCGCCCCTGGAGCCGTCCGAGCACGAGTGGCTCGTCCGGGGGCCGCTGGACCCACCAACTGCACGGGCTGCTGCTGCGCGACCGCGGCCTGGGGCCAAGCGCGACTTCGTGTCTGGCTTCACTGCCCCGCATCGGGCCGCCGAGAGCGGCCACGGCGAGATGGCGCGGAGGCTGGTGGAGGTCGCGCGGCTCGGTGGCTACACGCCGCTGCCCCTGGCTGGGCTGCGCGGCCGCGAGGACGCCGCGGGGCTGCTCCTGGCGCGCCTGGGTGCCCAGGTGCACGTGCGTGACCACAGCGGGCGTCGCGCCTACCAGTACCCGAGGCCCTGCTGTTCCTACGCGCTGCGCCGCCTACTTGGCGATCCAGGCCTGCCAGGCACCACGGAGCCAGATGCGAACGGGGGTGGAAGTGGCCGTCTTGCTGCCACGCGCCCGGTGCAGGTGGCCGCTACCGTCCTCAGTTCCGCCACCAGTGCATTTCTAGGCGTCCTGGCCGAGGACCTCATGCTCCAGGACCTGGCCTGAGGAGTGAAGAAGTCAAGCTCCTTCAGCAAGTTCTCGAGCGCCTCGCCCGTGGCTCCACGTAAAAAGACAAAGGTCCGCGGTAGTCTGCCAGCCTTCTCAGAAAATTCTCGTCGACCTACTCCGGGACCTTTAGCTGGTCTAATGCCCAGTTTGCCCCCAACCACCTGAAAGCCCCTGGGGCTACCACCTGCTTGATCTATCGTGGCCTGCTCCTGGCAGTCTAAGTCCGCCCAAGACTGCAGCTCAATCAATGCCTGCAGCCTCGTTCTGTTTCCAGCTTTGCCCACTGCAGCCTGTTTCATCCAGAGGGGCCTGCACTTCCAGCTTCTCTCTGAAGCATGACCCATCTCCAGAGATGGTATTTGAGAACTCATTGAGAGCCTCCTATAAAGAACTCCAGGAGACAGGCCTGAACGCTGGAGGAAACTTGAAATCAGCGTCAGGGGTTAAGGGGCAGCAGCTGGTCTGGCCCCGAATGGTTAACTGTTGCCTCTGCATCTACACAACCCCAAGCCAGAACTACAGGAAGGGTCTCTTTAAATGTTGGAAGATGTTAGGTTGTCAGCTTTAAGATATGCGGGTGGTTTTGTAATTTGATGCTTTTATTGTTTTTAAATTGAAATGAGGTAAAGCAACTTTCATAATAACCTTTTGAAATTATATTTTTCCACTTTTAGGCAAAGTGCTCAGACATTTTCAATTTTTTGCTAAATATTTTGGAATTCTGTTTAAAAAATAAGATGATCAAGATCTAAAGGAAATTAATCCCAACCAACAAACTTAAAAGTTTATCTACCTCATTTTAGGCAATTAAGATTCTGGAGAGTCTTGAACACAGAATAACAATCGTGACCGTTATGAATGTAACTAATTCAGTTGTACTGTGAATGCTAGTATTTGCAAACAGGCACATCTTGAAAGTAAAGATGACTTTAAGAGAGAAAAGAGACATTTTGGCAGATACTTTTAATTTGTGGTTGTCTCTACAATGAAATATAAACATGTGTTTGGCAGTGGTGAGTGGCTATTTTGATTTGGCATGAATACTTAATTCTTTTAAAAAATTGTGGTTTGTGAATTGCAACGTTGTGCCATGTTTCTGAATCTGTAGTTTTCAAATCCAGCAGAGCCTTTCAGTGCAATAGGTGAATATTCATAGAAAAAAGTCACAGCATTATGACAGAAAAATAAGCGGATAAATAATAATGGATGCAGTTAAAGAGCAACTATTTTATATGAATGTTCTGTACAAACAAAAAGTATGTGATACCCGTTTTTAAAAACCATTTGAAAAGAGACAACTTACTCCAAAATAGCAAATGCAAACTCTTTGCTCAGTGAACTTGGATGAATGGCTTAACTTCTCTGGGCCTTTGTTCCTATCTAGAAATGAGAAGGTTTGTAGATGTTGCCCAGATTTCCCATGCTCAACACAGTGTAATTTTTTTCTCTTTTTAAAGATATGAAATCTATTTACTCAACCAATTTTTAAGATATCATATTGTGGTAATGCTCTGCTTTTGCAAATCGTGTTTGCATGTCATTAGTTATATCAAATAATTTTGTGGCAGGGGGCAGCAGAGCTTCCCTTCCACCCCCGTATGGATTAGTGAAACATTCGAAATTCCTTAAGGCAGTCTTGCATGGAATGTTTTGATTGAGCAATGAAATAAACAGTCCACCATTTGGTAAAAAAATATATATATATAAATATATATATATATATGTATATATATATAATATATATGTATATATATATAAATATATATATAAATATATATATAAATAACATTTATGGAAATAAAATATATCCTATGTAATGTAATGAATTGCTACAAAGGATGCTGCTACATTCTTATACTGGACCTTAAATTGTTTGGCTTGAAAAATCATAAATTATAAGTCTTTAGTTCACTTGTTAAAAACTGAAGAGTACCACTGATTTCCTTTCATTTAGAAGTGAATTTATAGAAACCATTCACTGTCTCAATTTCAAGTAAAATTCAGAATGGGGGCTGGGCATGGTGGCTCACGCCTGTAATTCCAGCACTTTGGGAGGCTGGGGGGGGCGGATCACGAGGTCAGGAGATTTAGATCATCCTGGCCAACATGGTGAAACCCCATCTCTACTAAAAATACAAAAAAATGAGCTGGGCACGGTGGTGCATTCTTATAGTCCCAGGTACTCAGGAAGCTGACGCAGGATAACCACTTGAACCTGGGAGGCAGAGGTTGCAGTAAGCCGAGATTGTGCGTTGCACTCCAGCCTGGTGACACAATGAGACTCTGTCTCAGAAAAAAAAAAAAAAAAGAGAAATCCAGAATGGGATGGGATTCTGTGTATTCTATTTCCAAAACATAGTGAGATACAATTATGGGACTTTTTGCAGGCTACAGTGAGGGCTCCAATTCAATTTCATAATCTTAAGTAACAATCTATAAAAAGGAAGGAAAACATTTTAAAAGGTACCAAAACAGTAAGTCAAGATACAAGGTACATGTTTTCTAGCAGATTGTGCCTTAAAAAAATAGAAAAAGAAAAAAATGTTAATTTAAATTCACTTTTTATTCTTTCATAGATTTTAACAATTATACACAACTTTTAACATAAAGGTAGTGAAATCTCAAGGATAAGGAGGCAATATATATGGTCTCTTCTTTTCGTTCTTCAGGATGGAAGGAAATCTCCAAAGGGTACCATGTGTGAGATTAACACTGGAAAAATACATATGAAACTTGTTTTTACTGGCTCCACTTAGGACCAGGCATAGCACAATAAATATAGAACTGCATCATTTTTTTAAATGATCGTTGTAATTTTAACACATTCTTACTAAAGAAACACATACTATCAGTGACCAATCTGAAATTCTGTAACAGGTGAAGGGAGACTTACGATGAATATCTAAGCACAGGTTCTCTAGCATCTTCACACTCATACATCAACATCCTTAAAGGGAGTAAGAATGATTTCAAATTCAAAACAGTAAAAAAACCAATCTGGTCAAACTTTCTTCATCATACCATTCACTGCTGTCACAATCCTAGTTTGCTGGTAGGTTTAAGATAGGAATAGAAAGTTTTTGAAATCCTTTTAATTTCTACTACTCTTAGGGCCTCCTGGGGGAGGCCACTGTGGAAGCAAACTGACCAAACAGCACCATTACGTCTGTATATCTCAACAAACCACTGCATGATTTCCATCTGTCAATATTCTCAAAGGCTAACACAAGTCGTATGGAAGAATACCTTTCCTCAGTAGCAGGCCACTGTGAACACATGCAATCTGCAAGGATTTAAACGGAAGTATCCTGAATTCTCTACTGATTGATTGCTTCTTTCCTTAATAGACCAAGAGATAGGTATTCTCTAAAGATTTAAACAATAACATACTAAGGCATGAAATAAATCCTTTGTTTATACCATCACAATTTGGGGATTTGAGATTGTTAACCATGTTCACATACCCTTTCCTCTTCCCAAAGAGGAAGCAACTGTGCCAGCACTATTGGTCAGACTTAATGGGAAACTGTTGCTCTCAGAGCTATTCTGCAATATACAGACACATAAATTATTATTTTAAACATATACTTCAAAGACGGGATAAAATGATCTTTTTTTTTTAATGTGACCCAGATTCTGTTATCAGTAGATACAAAATTAATTTCGGATGGAAACTGTATGTTGCTGTGGCCATATATATTCTGAGAAACCTCTTACGCCAGTGAACCAAAAACCATATGAAAGAAATTAGCATTTTCTAGGATTGGTCAACTGGTTGTTCAGAAACTCAACAAGCAAACAAACATGCAAACATGTGACATATGTCATTATTTTGTAGAAACATAATGCCACTCTGGCCCCAGGACTCACTGCAGCCCAGCTGGTCCTTAAAGGTACAAACAGCCTTTCATTGCTACTAAACATTTTCTCTGGCAGTTCACTGCCCATCACACTCGCCACATGATTCTCAGAAGCTTCGGCTTCTAAGACGGTTGAGGAAAATAGACGGTGTAATGTGGATCAAGTTTTCAGTGATTGTTTTAAATGTAACTGTAAAAAGAACTTCCTAGTAATGAAGTACATAATAATCTTTGATACTAAATTTTTTCTAGTGAAATAAACTATGCTTTAATAAGACAATGTTGATCTAAGTTTGACCCCCTGACTCTGTTTTCTTCTTTTTTAGAGGGTACTATTTCATACATTGTGTGAGCCCCACAAATGCCTATTTTTAAAAGAGTATATAGTTCCTGACCAGGCATGGTAGCTCACACCTGAAATCCCAGCACTTTGGGAGGCCGAGGCAGGTGGATCACCTGAGATCAGGAGTTCGAGACCAGCCTGATCAACACAGAGAAACCCCATTTCTACTAAAAATACAAAGTTAGCTGGGCGTGGTGGCGCATGCCTGTAATCCCAGCTACTTGGGAGGCTGAGGCAGGAGAATCACTTGAACCCAGGTGGTGAAGGTTGCAGTGAGCCAAAATCCCACCACTGCACTCCAGCCTGGGCAACAAGAGCAAAACTCCATCTCAAAAAGTAATAATAATAATAATAAAAGAGTACAGTTCCCAATAGTTTCCCACAAATACTCCTGATTTATATTGGGGGAAGCAATGCATAATTGAAACATCAATCATGTTTTGAAAATTAAGTATTTCCTGCAAGGCAATTCTTTTGCAAAATGTCAAGCTGTCAATGACCTGAGCAGATGCTGAGTTACTTCACAAAGTGCCTCTTCAAAAGGTATAGAAATCTGCCTTCCATTCCGAATTCACTGCAAAGGGAGTACATGCAGGAGTCCTGTTTCCAGTTTAATGGAGGTGAGGAAAGGGTACACCTCGGACAGAGGGTCACCCTACATACAAGCTTACAGTAGTGTGACTATTATACATATTTGCTGTATTCTCCACGACAGACAAAGGAAGAGGGAGGCCCTTCACAACACTAGAACAGAGGAATGTTTGTTTTATATAAGACCTACCAAAAAAAACAGGGAAACGAATGATAACACACATAGGCACTAGTCTCAAAGCTGCACGATAAAGAAGCAAAAGGTTTGATGAGAAATTTAGGAAAGTACACATAGGAGCTTGCTGAGGAAAAGGAAATCACAGTTCTAGTCTTCAAGGCTACGGAATGCATTCTGCATATCTTCAAGAAGTTGGGTATAGTCGCTCTTGATCTTCGCCTCTCCGTCTTTCACTGGATCCTGAAAGAAGACATCACAAATTCAACTCACATTTGGAAAGTAATTTTCATTATGTATGGTAAGTTACTTCTATTTTTTTTTTTTTGAGACAGAGTCTTGCTCTGTTGCCCAGGCTGGAGTGACACACTGCAACCTCTGCCTCCCGGCTTCAAGTGATTCTCATGCCTCAGTCTCCCAAGTAGCTAGGATTACAGGCACCTACCATCACGCCTGGCAAGTTTTTTTTTGTATTTTTAGTAGAGACAGGGTTTCACCATGTTGGCCAGGCTGGTCTTTAATGATGATCCACTTGCCTCGGCCTCCCAAAGTGCTAGGATTACAGGTGTAAGCCACTGCACCTGGCCCAAGTCACTTGTCTTTCATATATTTTGAGTACTAGGTTTAGAGAGGGACACTGGTAAACCACAGGCAGGAGTTAAAACTATACTAATTTTCCCATTTACTTAAAGTTTGCCTGATAGTCACATTCAATGACCAAAGCCCTTATCCTCAACAATGTGCACAATAGTGGGAAATTATGCCGCTTCACATATTAGATGCATATGACTTCACGCATGATAATCAGGAATTAATTTAATCAAAACAGAATTTGCTAAAATCTGGTACTATCACACTAAGATGGAAAAGTAAAACTTAGGAAATAATGTTAAAATGCACCATTATTTAAAATTCTTTATTTTTTTATTTTTATTTTAAAAGTCAGTCTAATTTAGCAGTGGGAGGTTGTATACCAACTTTAGTGACACTAATGTTAGTAAGTTCTGATAACCCACTACCATTGGACCAGCCTAAAATTCTTATGGAAACAACTTACTGAGTAAGATGTATAAAAGAGACTTTAGCTGGGTGCAGTGGCTCACGCCTACAATCCCAGCACTTTGGGAGGACAGATCGTGAGGTCAGGAGATTGAGACCATCCTGGCCAACATGGAAAAACCCCATCTCTATTAAAAATACAAAAATTAGCAGGGCATGGTGGCACCTGTCTGTAATCCCAGCTACTCGGAAGGCTGAGGCAGGAGAATCACTTGAATTTGGGAGATGGCGGAGGTGGCAGTGAGCTGAGATCACGCCACTGCACTCCAGCCTGGCGACAGAGCAAGATTCTGCCTCAAAACAAAAAACAAAAAGAGAGACTTTAAAACGTTCCAGTTCTCTAAGCCAATCATTCCTCTTCTGGGACTCCATACTAAGAAAACACAAAAAACCAACCACGCGCAACTACATGGTCATCCACACCAATAACTGAAGATTTTCTAAGTGTCTTAGAAAAATATTACTCTCCAGCCAAAAATAATGCTACAGAAGGCTGATGACATTGAAAAATACCTGTGGTGTTAATTTGACACAATAAGCATGTGACAGAAATCATCATTACTGCAGGTATGTATTTTTCATCCTCTTCCTATGAAGGTATAGTTCGTTGAGGCAGTATTTGGAACAAGTTACATATGGAAGTTTTTTCACTCTGTGCCATAAGCATTTCTCCATGTCTTTGAATATTTGACAAAAATGATAATGCCTTCATAATATCTATCTTATGGACACCCCGTAATGTACTGTTGGCTCTGCTCATTCTCGGGTAACACTTAAGAAATCTGGCCAGGTATAGTGGCTCATGCCTGTAATCCCAGCACTTTGGGAAGGTGAGGTGGGCAGATCACCTGAAGTCAGTCAGGAGTTTGAGACCAGCCTGGCCAACATAGCAAAACTCCATCTCTACTAAAAATACAAAAATTAGCTGGGTGTGGTGACATTCATCTGTAATCCCAGCGACTTAGGACGCCGAGGCAGGGAGAACTGCTTGAACCTGGCAGGCAGAGGTTGCAGTGAGCTGGGATTGTGCCACTGTACTCCAGCCTGGATGACAGAGCAAGACTCTGTCTCAAAAAAAGGGAGGAAGGGAGGGAGGGAGGGAAAGAAGAAGAAAGAAAGAAAGAAATTTAATAAACAAATAAACAACCTTGTATATCCATATCAAAATTCCAAAATTCTAATTACTTCCTTGGTTTATATATTTCAAGGTGAAATGACAAGACCAAAAAGGTGTAAATATTTTTAAATTATAAATATAGTTAATATCTATTTGTACAGGTTTACTTTCAATCTACAGTGCAAACACACACATACACACAATACATATATTATTTTAAAATTTTTATGTTACATATACACTCAGAGAATCATTCCCAGTAGGTGCTTAGTAAATATGCCTGGATGTCATTACAGAAATAAATACAATTCAACTGATCAAATATTTAAAAAAATCTTATACATCTGAGTTCCAACTAAGTTCCTATTACTTTCATTTAATTATCTATTTTTATCTTGCATACTTCCAAAAGAACAAGAGACCACTTAAAAGTTAAAACATGACTGGGCACAGTGGCTCATACCCGTAATCCCAGCACATTGGGAGGCCAAGGCAGGGAGATCACCTGAGGTCAGGAGTTTGAAACCGGCCTGGACAACACGGTGAAACCCTGTCTCTACTAAAAATACAAAAATTAGCTGGGTGTGGTGGCAGGTGCCCATAATCCCAGCTACTTGGGAGGCTGAGACGGGAGAAGCACTTGAACCTGGGAAGTAGAGGTTGCAGGGAGCCAAGACTGTGCCACTGCACTCCAGCCTGGGTGACAGAGCAAGATTCCATCTCAAAAAAAGAAAAAGTTAAAAACTGTCATGCTGTACATGATATTTAAAAGAGGTAAACATTTCAGAAGAACATGTGGGCTAGATGTTAACAGGCCCTTGGAGTAAGGTAATTGTTGCTCAGCTATGAAGTAACCCCTAATTTGACGGGCAGCTAAGACAAAAGAGAAAACATATCAGCATTTATTTTAGACGTGACAGACTAATTTTGTTGTTTTTGAGACTGGGTCTCATCCTGCCGCCCAGGCTGGAGTGTAATGGTGTGATCAAGGCACACTGCAGCCTCAATCTCAGCCTCCGAGGTAGCTGGGACTACAGGTGTGTGCCCCTATACCTGGCTAATCTTTTCTATTTTTTGTAGAGACAGGATTTCAATGTGTTGCCCAGGCTGGTCTTGAACTCCTGGGTTCAAGTCATCCTCCTGCCTCAGCCTCTGGAAGTGCTGGAATTACAGGCATGAGAGCCACTGTGCCTGACTGACAGACTAATTTCTATCATTAGAATTCCTATATGAACGTCACTTAGAGGCCTCTACTGGTTTTACAAAATGTGAACATGTGTGAAAATGATAACTGCAAGTTTTATATCCCAGGTTTGGGACTCAAATAGCTAGAAAAATTAAAAAGAAGCATTTCCAACTTAAAAAGTTATAGCAGAAACAAAATATACCTTGAATTTCATGGAGGAAAGTTTATAGAGGATGTCTCCCATGTGCTCACGAATAATGGACCATGTGATTTTATTGTCACTCTGGGCAGTGGTTTCAACAGCTCGACGCGCCATATCGTAAAAGGCAATCATGTTGGACAGCATCCCTACTGTCTTGTAGAACGGGCAGAACCTAGAATAAATGAAGGTCAAGAAAATCAACAAAAATAAACCCCAAAACAGGTTCATACATTACGTAAAACTACCAGAGCATTAGTTTCTTCAGCTCATTATGTAGATTGCTTATATTTATTAGATGATACATAAGGAATTAAAAAAGAATAGTGAAAAGACCTACAAGTACTTAACCAGAGTTTCTG